TTCTTTCGAGATCCCATTACCATTGTCATATGCCTCATCACATTTCTGAAAACATTCTTCTGGACAGACAAGGTATAAGGAATCTGTATCCCCGTATTTTACACTGAACTTTTTACTTCTAACGAGATCGGCAATAAGCTTGATATTCCGCTGACCTGCTGATGTAACCCCACCTGCTAATGCTCGCAAGAAGAAAGGGGATCCACTATTCCCAGCTTCACCGTAAAATGTATTCATATATACTTTTAAAGCGAGCTGTTTTGCGTCTAAACAAGCGATATTAAAGACAACTGAAGAGTATTCAGACTGTAAAGTATCTGTAACAACTATGTCTCTTTCTTCCGCCAAATTAATCTTCTTTTCCAATTCTTCTTTTTTATCATTTAATAGAGCAAGACGTCTTTTTAGCGAATTTCGTCTAATTAGTAACCCCTCTAATACTTTTGAATAAAGGCCTTTCATTTCAGCCTGGTTTTCATGCTCTATAGACCACGCGAGAACATCCCGATTATTGAATTTGAAATTTATTTCATGAAGCTTTTTACCGCTATCCTTTAGAGATTTGGCATGCTTTCGAGATAAAATAATTTTATCTGGCGAGAGGTTATATGTCATAATTAAGCTGGGGTATAAGGAGGCGAAGTCCAAACCTGTGACAGGACGTTTATTCTCAAGACCCTTTTCCGGCGGGAATACATATGCCCCAGGGTATTTTCCTATTTCCGTTTGTTCGCATGGAATTGTACTGGTCAAAATTCCTTCCTGCCACGCACCAGCACTTAAAAGATTGCGCACTTTCATTCCTATTGCGAAATAATGCGCATCGAATAATGATATAAACGCTATGCTCGCAACCTCCCTATACTCATTAATTACATTACGCTTGACCATTAACCGCTGACAGCTAAGAGCATCGATAATGCAGTATTTGGCCACTTCACGCATCTGCTCGGCCGTTGTGGCATTTGTTTCTTTTAATGCCTCTTCGTAATATTTGTTCATTCGTGGAATAGGTAAATCCACTTTGTTGTCAAGATTACACTCCCTTAAGTAATATGCGAGACTACTTTTTTCGGCTGTAGGGTAGAATTTCTTAAAACAGGGTCGGACATCAATAGCCACACATCCGGGGGTTTTAAGATGCCTCGAATAGAAGTTCCCATCGTTTACTTTTATCATATTACACTGATATTGCCATTTTGTAATTTTT